TTTAGATAGGCCTCGAAGGATCGAGAGGTTTAGTCGGCCTTTTGCTTAGCACGTAGGTATTGGTCTTAGGCGTGCTACTAGCGCAATATAGGGTTGCTAAGGGTGTTTAGTATAATAGTCTTGTAATCCTGCTATTGAACAGCGGTCTAGTCGTAAAGGGAATCAAAATAGTTATCCTATATACGCTTAGGGTCACCGTTAATATACTGCATAGCATAGACAACTAAGGAATAGTTATCTAGCAGCGCTCTCGGTGCATTGCGCTAGTTAAGCTTACAGTTACGAATATAGTTATTGTATTGCTTTCGACTAGAGCTATTAAACACGGTGTAGTCCTTGAGTTTAGCATCCTTCTTCTAAACTAGGACTAATAGTAAGGACGGCCCTGCTGTCGGCTTAGTGTTAGTTATTAGGGCCTCCTAAAGGCGACGAATTTTAAGGAGATTATCCTTTAGCTGTTGTTCTTAGCGTAGAGTAGCGAGCCTATTTTAGGTAGCTTCCTAAAGTCTCGCTACTAGCTAGGGCCTAAAGGCTAGTTAGCTATATCGTCGATTGACAATGTTATTAAGAATGTCGTTAACAGGCAATTCTAGATCGTCGCCTAGAACTACAGGTTCTTCGGCAGGCCTAGTAGTAGGCTCTTTAGTAGGTACTTTAGTAGGTGCTTTAGTAGGCACTTTAGCAGGTACTATACTACTAGCGTTGTTATTGCTAGCGCTGCTAGCGGTAGCACGGTTGTTGTTGCTTCGTAATGAACCGGCTATTGTAATAAGGGGTAGCACTAATAATGTATTATAGCCCCTTATAGTGCGGATATAGCGGAATTAGCGAGTATCGGCCTAATGTGCTTAACTTAGTGTAATAGGCCGTATAGAAGGCCTTGCTTAATAATTGGTACGGTTGTTTTAGTAGAATAGTACGTATAGGTCCCGTTCTTCGGGCGCAATATAGTTAAATCGATAGTTTTTCGTAGCTATACCGCTAAAAGCTTAAAACAAGGACTATCTAGCTGCTGCCCTTAAAGGGTGGATCGAATACTATATAAGAAGGGTTATATTAGTAGGTAGATAGGGTGGTAGTGAATTAGTATAGTATTCGATAGAGATCTAAGAGGAGAGGGAGGAAGGCAGGCTAGTTAGCCTAACGCTAAGCGCTAAGCCCTGCCTAAGGCACTAAGACCCTAGCTTCACTCGGCCTAATTATATGCCAATCACGTATAGCCTCTTTAGCTCTAACACCTCTATACCTACTAGCTAGCTACGTAGCTACCTCTATAATCTACTAGGGAATCTTCTTAGCCTCCTCCCTTTCTAGCTCTCGGATCTTACTAGCTAGGGTATTATTATTTAGCTATCTCGCTACTAGCTTTTAGTACTTAGGGATATAAGATAGGACCTCGGCGTTACTTAACTATATTCTATTCCCGTTAAGGAACTTCTTAATTTAGAAATTATCGTCCTTATAGTATTTCTAGAGGTTCTTAACTAGGTTAGTTATCTTAGGCTCCCTCCGCTTCGTAGTAGGGGGGTTTACTCCCTTTAGTCTCTCCTAGTTAACTAGACGAGATATCCCTTCCTTTAGGCGAGGAGCGATTACCTTAGGCCGAGGAGAGGCGTCTTCTATCGATATATCCTTAATATCGAGATCGATTATACTCTTTAGGATAGTTTTAACCCGAGGGGGTTAGTACGCGCCGGAAGGGCCTATAGCTAGACTTTCTCGGCTAACTATCTCCTCCGAGTATACCCGCGGGGCCCCTAAAGAAGTATTACTCTACTCGGTCGTCTCTCGTAGCTCTATTAGCTTTTAGTAGCTCTTCTTAGCCTTAGAAAGGGTCTATCCTTATAGTACGTTCCGGATACTCTTTATCTTCGTAGCCTTCTTCTATTTAGTAGCCGCTTTCCGGATCCGATTAGTATTAGTAGTAGCCGTATTAGGGAGACCCCTACGAAGGGGTTCCTTACCCTAGCTACTATAGGTAGTAGTAAAGGTATTAACCTATAGCTAATTATCCTCCTTAGGAAGGCCTTTATACTCTCTATAGTTAAGACTCTCCTCGATCTCGTTAATTACCTATAGTTCTATATTATATACTCGCTAATTGAATATTACTCTTCTAGTCGTAGTAGGGGGAATAGTAGAGGCGGAAGGGATAGGGGTAGGGGTAGGTAACCCGCTCTAGGTATTATTAGAGGCTATACCTCCGTACGGATTAGTAGTAGGAGGGAATCGCTAAGGAGGAGGGGGTAGTTAAGGGGGTATTATAGGTATAGAGGGGCGGGGAGTGCTCCTATAGGGAGGAGTAGGGGCAAAGGGGATAGTAGGGGCAATAGGGGTAATAGGGGTAGAAGGGGTAGAAGGTCGTAAAGTCGGAGCCGGTAGTTTCGGGTACCTAGAAGCGTAGTTAAACTTAGATCTAAGGGCCTCTATTCTATACTCCGGAGGAAAGGGGATCTTATACTAGTAGTAGTCTTCTATAGGGGGTAGTATTATCGCGAGTTTTAGCCTAATACTATCGTTTCGAAACTTAAGCTATTTCGGTAAGAGGTTGTCTAGAGGGCTAATAAACTAGGTACGCTCGCGAAGGTAGTAGTATCTAGTAGCTTAGATATATCGATATAGCCTATAAGTAGAGCGTATATATCCCTCGCTACTATAGTAGTAATAGAGACCCTTATACCTAGGGGGAGACTAATAGGCGAAGTAGTTAGTAGTATAGCTATAGGCACGATCGTAGGTCTACTAAGCAAGGCGAGGATTATATTTAATAGGAGGGCCGGTAAACCTCTAAAGAGTATAGGAGTCGTTGTTCGTATTAACGGCACTAGTAGGAGGTTTTACCTAGTTCTCCCTCGATATAAGGGACAGCTTTAGGTCCTAGAACTGCCTAACGAGATCCTCGTACTTATTAGAGACAACTAGCTTAATAGCAACCCCTTATCTTTAAGCCTTAAGGGTTAGCTTTATACTCGGCTATCTCTTTTCGATAGTCTTACGAAGCCCCTTTATATAACTACTATTGTCGGTTATTAAGAGAGTGAAGCCCTAGCGAGCTCGGGCTATACTAGATCTAGCTAGAAAGATGCGTTCGAAATCCGTAAACGATTTAGCATCGTAGGGGTAGACGTTATACTTCTTATATATACGAGCTATTATATCTAAGGACACCTTCCCTAAACCCTTTAGGAAGAGGCGGCTTCGGGTTATATTATCGAGGAGTCTCCTCGGTACCTTCTCGGCGATCTAGTAGAACTCGTTATAGAATAGTATAGTATTACTAGTAGGACTCTAGCTATCGTAGAGCTATTTAAGGTATTCTCGGGAGTTAAGCCGTATAGTAATATCCTAGTTAGCAAATTCCTGCTTAAACCTAGTAAGGAAGGTCGTCTAAGACATAAGGGGGTCTCTAGAAATAATCCGGTTAATACGGTATCGAATAGTAAGATTATAGTTAGTAACGAGGAGCTTTATCGCTTTCGGGGTATTATAGCGAGGGTAGTATCTCTCGAGCAGGATCGTAAAACGGTCGGCGAAACTAGTAGCATTCTCTCTAGTAAAATACGGATTCTTAACCGTACTAGGAAGAGGCATTTAGGGTCTTATATCGGAGAAGGCCTATAGAAGGCCTTATAGGATATTCGGAGGGAAAGCGATAGTATTAGTTACCGTCGGTATTAGCCCTTTATCGGGCCTAGTAGTACTATCTACTCCGAGGGCCGTATTACTATCGCTTCTAAGTAAGGTAGTAGCTCTATCCCCTACGGTACTCGAATCTAGGGGTAGAGGAACGCTCGTAGTAAGTAGTAGAGGGGCTTCATCCCTTAGCCTCCTAGTATTAGAAGGACGCTATTCCTCGATCCTAAGTATAGAGGAGGTAGTATTAGTAGGTTGTTAGTACTCTATATCGTCGGTAGAATAGAGGAAGTATAGTAATTAGTATATAGTAAGTAAGAAGGGGAAAGGTATAGTAGTAGTAGAATTAGACAGTTTAATAAATATATATACGTATATATGTTTCGGTAGTAGTAAAGGTTGCTTTAAAGGAAAGGGGCGGTTTCGTAGGTAGGCGGGTAGGTAGGTCGCTATTTAAAGGGTAGTAGCACCCTCGGTATATAGTAGCTAGCTAGCTAGGGTATCGATAGGCCTATTCGTATATAGCTAACTGCTTAGTACATTGTTAAGCCTAAGCGTTTAGCGCTCGGGCTAGTAATTTAGCGGTTCTTATTTTAAATCGTTCCGAAAAGTTTATCCTAATAGTAGGAAACCGGGTTTAGGGAATCGGGGTATAAGGCTAGGGTTTCGGGGTCTTCTATATCCCCCTATTAGTTAAACATAGGTAGCCTCCTCGTCTTCCTATAATTCTAGTATTCGGCTGTAACGTCGTAAGCCCTATCTGCTATAGATAGATAAAGGGTTCGTAATTTCGTAAGTTATCCGCGGATATAGTCGGTATTAGTATTAGTATCGGTATCGGTAACGGTTAGCGGTTTATTACTAGTAGGACGTCTTAATACTAGTAAAGTCGGTAACGGTTAGCGGTTTATTACTAGCGGGACGTCTTAACGCTAGTAAAGTATCTATTCGGGTAAGTATAGGGGTAGAAACCCTTTAGTCCTTCTAGGCTTAGAGTCGGCTAGCGACTCTACTAAAAGACGTTAAGGCCTCCGCTACTACTCCGTTTTATCTATATATATACCTACATCTTTAAAAATAAAGATAGCCCTACCTTCGGCTCTAGAGATATAGTAGTACTAGGGAGGTCGTAGGTATAGGTACATATATAGAGGGCTTTATACTATATGTCTAGGTTCGTTATATGCGGTTTAGAGCTATAAGGGGTCTACGTACGATAGATAGACGAGGTAGGGTAAAGGTATATATAAGAAGAAAAGGTATTAAAGGTATCTAAGAAGTAGTTAGTATAAAGGGAACGTATATATATAGTGTCTATAGTAGTAGTTAGTAGTATATTGTTCTGTATGTCCTATATAGTAAGTAGTATGCAAGTGGGGCTCGGGCTACACCGATGTAGGGCTACTCTACTACAATAGCTAGTAGGTAGTACTCGGCGTTTAGGATAATACTACCTTAGGGGTATTATTAGTATTAGAAGCGAGTAGAAACTAGCGCTTAACTACGGTCTTAAGATACGCCTTATATAACTTCTTATTTGTTTCGAGCGTATTATATAGTGTCTAGTTAGATACCTAGAAAGGGAGGGAATGTTAGCTAGCAACTAGGACCCCCTACCCCCTATAGGGTTAGGGCCTATATAAACAGCTCCTTCTAGAGTAGAGTAGAATTATTAACCTCGTTCAATACACTATCTATACTACACTTCTTAGTATTACTATTATAGGGCTCTAGTTACTACCCTAAGTCTCTAGAACTACTACGTTATTAGCCTAGTACGGCTATCTATTATTAGATAGATCGTACTACTAGCGGTTGCCTACGCTACTACTACCCGGTATAGTAGTAGTATTAGTTTCCGCCTATTACCTCTTAAAGTAATATTAACCTTAGCCCTAAGATATGTTAAACTAGCCTTACGAGGACTTTAATATCCTATTATCCCTAATACCTAGAAGCCGTAATATCCTTACTAGCTAATAGATACTATTATTATCTTAATAAGACTAAAGTTAATCTCTCTTTAATATCTAAGACCTCTTTATATACGATCCTTTAATTCTATATAACGAAATCGACTTTAATAACGTAAGAGACCTTTTCGGCCTAGTATAGACTAGCGAGAACTTACCTCCCCTACTATCTAAGAAGTTCGCTAAGAGAATTAATCCTAGAAAATCTATCGCCAAGAATAATCTAGATACTATACGATCCGGTTAGAAACTTATTAAAGATCCGAGGGACGCTACTACTACTACTACTACTACTACTACTACTACTACTACTACTACTACTACTACTACTACTACTACTACTACTACTACTACTACTACTACTACTACTATAATAAAAACGATATCCTTTAACTCTTATTCTTCTATACTAGCGCCTACGCTATTAAGTAAGAGATAGAAGGTAGGTAAGAAGCCTAGTATAAGGAGGTCGAAGAGGTCCGGAAGGGTAAAGAAGTTTAGTTTACTATTACCGAAGTCTAAAGGTAGGAAGGTTTAAGGAGTATATATCGTATAGATAATAGGAAAAGAGAAAGGAAAGAGAGAGAGAAAAGCGAATAGGGATATAATTAGATTTAAGTATAGTAAGATATATATACTAGAGAGAGAGTAGCGATATCGTTAAGTATATATAGGAGAACATTAAAGTATTAGAATCAAAAATAGGGTTCGTTAAATCCGTCCTTCTATACTTACTATTACTACTACTATAGTAAGTATATATATATTAGTACTTATTATATATTAATCCCTCCTATACTATAACTTTACTTATCTATATATATACCGTCTCCGGCGTAGGCTCGTATATAGTTAAAAGCGTAGGGGAATACGGTCTTAACGGGACTCGCTTACCTTAAATTGTTCTCCGGCTTAGGCTCGTATATAGTTAAAAGTATACCTTTATAGTACCGCTTCGAGGAAAGATACGGCGAGGCGAACGGAGAGAGAACGAGGTAAATAGATATCGTAGGTTAGCTTATCTATATCGCTAGCTATAGCTAATTCGACGGGTCCTATCGCTAGCTATAGCTAATTACTAAGCGAGTAGCGCCGTATCGCTAGTTATAGCTAATTAGCTCGACGCCTACCTTAAGGTCGGACGCCTAACCCTAACCCTAAAGCTCTCTATAGTATACGTAGGGTCGAACTAGCGCTCGAGGGATTTATCTAGAAGTTCTTTTAGCTCTAGAGGTGTAACTAGTTTCGTACGCCGCTAATATTTATCTAGGTCTCGACGTAGTCGACGTTCGATATTCTACTATAAACAATATAGTCGTAGTCTATCTACGTCGACTATAGGGTTATAATTTGCCGCTAGTAGATTAACGATATCGTATACGATTTTACTAACGTTCCGATTATTACCTTTAGTATCTTATTTCTATCGCGCGTATACTCGATTATATACTTACTAGAAAGATAGGGGACAATATACGAGTACTCTAAAAGGATAGATATCGTAGAGCGTAGGAATAAGGATATTATCGATAAAGTAAGCCTATTTATACTTGTTTATATAGTAGCGACGTTACCGGTCGATCTTCCGATCTCGAAGCGTTTTAGGTATAGGAAGGTCGGAGAAGAAATAGTACGTATCGAATCTAGGAGCGTCTAGTCCCGTTACGATACGTATATACTTATAGCGTTAGGGTCGGATCGGAGAGCGGCTAACTAGTATATACTAATTGTAAGTAATAGTCTTTATAAACCGGGGCGTATAGAATAACCGAATACTAGCTCTATACGTAGTAAGAGAGGTTAAAGGAAGGAGAAGTACGTCTATATCCTAGTATCGAGTAATATAGAATAGCGAATTCGTATACGTAGGGTACGACTTCTCTAGTAATAGGACCGAAGTAGGTACCTCGTTAACCTATCTAGCGAGGAGTCTATACTAGTCGACGCCTCGTAGCTACTCGTATATATACGTCGGGAGCTTACTATACTCTACGATATGCGCGAGTATATCCGGAAGCTAGTAAAGTTAACTCTAGGCGAAGGTAGTAGTAGTACCCTCGGCTACGAATTCTACGAGTATTACTTAAGGCCCCGTTAGCTCCTCTCCTTCTATCTCTATATCCTTACTTAAGGAATATTTATAAGAGTAACCGTCTAGCGCGAACGCTCCGTAAAGTATAGACCGACTATAAGGGGTCGACGTAATAGGTAGGTTATCTAGTTCCTTATCCTTATCTATAGTAGCGTAGCTACTAGAAGTACGGCTAAAGTCCGATCGGATTAACCTACTAGTAAGCGACTATACTTAAAGGCTTTCGAGCGTAACGTCGCTGTTAGCGTCTCGATCCTGCCTAGTGGTAGGCCGTCTTCGCTATAGCGTAGGTTATAGCGGTAGTAGAGCTTCCGTTAAGGTAGATCTCGGATTCGGAGCGACGTATAAGCGAGTCTAGCTTAGCTCCTTACCTACCTAGTCGATACGTTATTTCGAAGTTAAATCGGCTAAGGAACTCGCTCTAGCGAGCCTAGCGGCGATTAAATTGTTTAGTAGATATATAGAACTATAGGTTGCGGTAATCCGTAATAGCGCGGATAGGCTCCTCGTTAAAGCGGCAACCTTCTAGCTCGGGTCTCTACGATTTAAAAGCTTTGGTAATAGCGAGAAGTTCTTTATCGTAGATTTTATAGTTACATTCGGCGGGTATTATCTTCTTTAAGAAGTAAGTAACGGGTTTCTATACCCCGTCGGCGTATAGCTAAGATATAATACCGGCGGTAATATAGTCTAAAGCGTCGGTTTCGACTATTACGGGTAGGTCCGGGTTATAGTAAGCTAGTACTAGTACTAAAACGAACGTAGCCTTAAGCTACTCGAACGAATCTTAGTAGGCTACTATCTATACGAAAGGTATATCCTTATACATTAAGAGGACTATAGGCTTTACGATCCGTATAAAGTCGCGGATAAAGCGGCGATAGAAGTTAGTAAAGCCGAGGAAAGACTATATATCTTTTAAGCGGGTATAGGCTAGTCGCGTACGGCTTTAATCTTCTCGTCGTCTATATAGATACCGTCGGTACTAATAACGAGTCCTAAGTATTTAACTAATATTACCTTAAATTCCGACTTCGAGACGTCGGTACGTAGGCCGGCTTTAAGGAGCGCGTCTATTACTTAACGAACGTAATAGCGGTATTCTTTAATAGAGTTAGAGTAGATAAGTACGTTATCTAGGTACGCGGTATAGAATACGTCGAGGAAGAGTCGGAGGGCATTATTAATATATTACTAAAAAGTTAATAGTATATTATAAAGTCCGAATAGTATAACCTTATATTCGAATAGGCCGTAGCGGGTACGGAAGGCTATTTTCTACTCGTAGCCGGGTTCGATACGGAGTTAATTAAATACCGAAATAATATCGAGTTTAGTATATACGACCGCTTTACTTAATCGGTCGAGTGTTTCCTAAATTAAGGGAATCGGGTATCTATTCTTTATAGTAATCTCGTTTAATTTACGATAGTCTATATTAAACCGTAGACCCCCGCCGGGTTTCTTAATAAATATTACGGGTAATAAGTACTATAAGGTAGATACTTAGATAAAGCCTTTATTAAGGTTGTCTTTTAGATAGTCGCGAAGGACTTCTAACTCTTCGTAGGATATACCGTAGAGCGGGCTATACGTAGTCTCTTTACCCTTAATAATATCGATACGATAATTTTATCCGGGTCGATATAGAGGTAATCTCTTTACGTCTTCTTATAAGAACAACGTTAACCTACTATAGTAGTACTAAGGAACTTTATTAGCGGGGTTAATATACTTCTTCCTAGCTATTTCTTTTTCTATATCCTATAGTAACGCGGCGAATACGAATAAATCCTTCTTCTTTGTCTACTAGTTAAAGACCTACGCGCTTACTAAAGCTATAGTTATACTGGCGATATAGATAAGCGGTAGTAGTAACTTCTTCTATACCGGTCGAGACGGCGATAAGAGTAGCAGAGGTAAGAGCGGAGACGAGAACTAAGTCGATACTAAACGGCGCGTAGGGTAGTCGCGTCGTACGTAGTACCTTCGTATTAAGTCGATAAGTCTTACTATATCGGTATTATCTAATAGGTTATAAGCGGGTTGTCGTTATTAATAGTACTACGTTACTATAGGCTCGGTATAAGCTAGTATATCGTTATCCTCGTAATCGGATAGGCCGTAGGTACGAACGATAGTATAGAGTTTATTATAGTGCTCCTTATAATAGTCTAAATTAAATTAAACTCAGTTAAGCTTCTAGTTAACGCGCGGGTTGTATTTACCAAGCTATAGTCGTCCGAGGATAATAGGGTAGTATCCTAGTATAGTAAGGTAGAAGGCCCTATATTCGATATAGCCGTTAATATTAACGGTCGCTCTAGTATGTTAAGTAACGTCGGCTACGAAACTACCGTCGAAAGCGGTTAATCTACGAGGCTCCTTTAAGTTATAAATACGGAGCTAATATTAGTACGCGTAATATAAGTTAATAAAAGATAAGCCGGTATAACCGCAATTAACTATTACTAATAATTAATTGCGAGCGAAGCTCGCCTTACAATAGTAAGGAGGGTACTAATCTAGTTACTAGAATACGCACTCGGCTATACGTAACGCTAAGCCGACCCCGGATTTAAGAATTCTATACGTTTGATTAGCTAGTTTCTATAAGTAGAGACTTTCGGAGCTAGCGCCGGTATCTCCGAACAAGCGCCGGTATCTCCGAACAAGCGCCGACTTCCCGAACAAGCGCCGACTTCCCGAACAAGCGCCGACTTCCCGAACAACCGCCGACTTCCCGAACAACCGCTAGTAAAGCCTTTTGCCTTCCTTCTAATACTTCAAATATATAGTAAAATATATAGTAAAATATATAGTAAAATATACAAACAATTAATAAGAAAATTAATAAGAAAATTAACTAAAACATTAATAAAAGAATTTATAAAACAACTTTTAATAAAAGAACCTATAGAAAAATTAATTTTAATTATAGAAAACATACGATTTAAATTTATAAAATTACCGAAAAATATTAAAGGAACGAGAGCGAGAATAAGAGCGAGGAACCCTAAAATTCGCGGCTCCGCTATACTAGGTATATATAAAATTTAAAAAACTCGCGGGCGCTACCGCTATTACTACGTAAGTAGAAGGAGCAGAAGTACTTACGTACGGGTACTATCCTAGTTAGTAAAACAATTAACAAAACAACAAACAAAACAACTAATAAAACAACTAATAAAACAACTAAAAAAAACTTCTACAATAGCAGCGAACAATTAGAGACGAAGGGAAGACAGTTAAGAAGGAAGGGAGGACGAATAGAAAGCACTATATACTAGGGCAGAGGAGGTGCTAAAGGCGGAAGATAGAAGAACCCCTAAGAGGGTATACAGGATAATAATCTTAGAACTCCTTAGAGGACTGAAAGCAATCTATAGCTAGGCAAGCTACGTAATTATAAAGGTAGCTAATATAGTCGTAGCAAAGATTACGAAGAAACAATAGGAGACAAGCCTAAACTACCGTACCTAGGTAGCAGTAGCTAGTTAGGAGGCGCTAAAACCCCCGAGGACAGTAGTTAGAGTCTATATTACGGACCTATAGGAGCAAAAGGAAATCTAAGGACTTATAGGGAAAGAGATTGTAGAAAGAATTGCAGTTAAAGAGGTAATTAGGGCTAGGAACGAAGGTAAAGGGGTAATTAAGCTATTTACAGCATAAGAGCAGGACAAAAAGAAGCTAGAAATACAAAAAGAATAGATAACTAAGATAGGGAAAACAGCAAAGGTCTCCTAACAGCAATTCATAATTATAGCCTATAGTATAATAAGAAGCTTTAAGGAAGAACAGGATATTAAGAGCCTATAGAGACAAAACTAAGCTACATACCTAGGCCTAAAGATCACAAAAGTAGCATAGATTAAAAGGAAAATCGAAGAGACTAAGAAGCAGTCTTCCCTAATTATCTAGGTAGGGAGTATAGAGCAAGCTAATATAGTACTAGACTAGGGGCTATTCTAGGACTTTAAAAGATTGGAAACAGAGATATATAGAAGCAACTATAGGATAATATAGTGCTTCAAATGTCAATACTATAGACACTTAGCAGCTAAGTATATAAAGACAACTAATACCTACTCCTATTATATAGGGGATTACTAGGTTAAAGAATGCAAAGTATATAAGGGAGAAGCAAGATGTACATACTGCACTAAAAGACACCCCTCTTAGGCGAAGGAATGCCTAGTAAGAATATAGGCAGCTAGGAAGGCAAAGGAAGCTAGAATTAATACACTAAAAAGATATACAACAAGCTAGGGCAGCTAGGTATAGAAGCAACCTAGCTAAGTGCTACAAAAGAGGTCTAGACAAGATAATAGGTTTACATTTAGGGCCTTACTAGCATAAGAGAGTTACTAGCAACTAGGGAGACTAAGATACCTTAACATTGTAGGAAAGGAAGCAGGGTAGACAAAGCTTAGTTAAATGTTAGTCTAAAGTAAGGGAAGACTAAAGGAAAACTTATAGGGAAATAATATAGATAAAACCTAATAAACATTGCAACATTACTAAATATTATATAGTACAATATTAATAAGAGCAAAGACAAGGTACAGAGGAGCTTCCTTTAAGTACTAAACCTAAAAGAACATTATATTATTGCAATCTAAGAGCCCTAGCTCAACCTATATATAAAGAGACTAGCAATAGTTAAAGACCTAAGATACTACCTAATTATCTATAACTAGGGAGCCCTAAGGATATATATCTATATTAGCAAAGAGATAGATATAGAAACCTAGTAGGCTATACTATAGGAGGATAGGGACCTAACATTAGTTTAAGTAGAGACATCCTAAGGTACACTCTAAGTCCACTATATATATAACCTACTACTAGACTTAAGAAGCAGTACCTAACTAAAAACCCTAGAAAGACTACCTAGAGTTATCTAGGGGAACATCTACTAAATCCTACTTAGGGATTTCAACCTCTACTACCCCCTCTAGGGCTTAGACTTTACCCTAGCTTACTACTTCCTAGTAGGAAGACTAATTGATATATTAGAGAGGGAAGGAATAGAAATTGTTACCCTAAAGGGACTAATTACTTAGGAGGTAAGAGGAAGTAGTAGTATACTAGACCTATACTTTATATTACATTAGATTAGGAATAGGATTATAAGATATAGGGTCAACTAGGAACTAGAAGAATTATTAGACTACTTCCCGGTGCAGATTAAGCTAAATATCTAAGCTAATTAGGAAAGGGAACTAGAGGAGAAGCTTAACTAGAAAGGTACCTAATAGGGCAGGATTAGGGAGGAACTAGAAAGGGACCTAAAACTAGAGGAACTCTTAACAAAGCACCTACTAAGGCTAGAGGACATTAACAAGGCAGTAGAAGAACTAATAGGAATCCTAAAACAGGTAGCTAGAAAGCATACTCTAGCAAAGAAACATTCACTATACTAGCAACTATACTAGACCAGTAAGTATATAAGAAAGGTTAAAGTAGCAAGAAAGGCTAGGAGGTAGTAGATACAAACCTATACCTAGGAAGCATAGGACAACTATAACAAAGCCTACTAGGAAAAGAAGATCTAGATTAAGAAAGACAAGATACAAGAATAGAGATCTATAATAGGAATAATTATAAAGAAACTAGAGGAGATATAGAGGATAGCTAAATAGGCAAGGAGACCTAAATAGGACAAGGATATACTACTACAATTCCCGGACATTATAGACTAATAAGGACAAATATAGACTACAATAGAAGGGAAAGTAAGAGCCCTAGGCTAACACTTCTTCTATAGAAAGGTACAAGTAGACCTATTAGATATAAAGGAGAAAGAACAAGAGACCCTACTACTAGGTACACTAAGAGACACCTAGGTTAAACCTAAAACTATTGAAAGGATCCTAAAGAAAATTCTAGGTAATAAGGCACTAGGAGAAGACAAGATCTATAACAAACTTCTAAAAGCATGCAGGAAGGGGCTAGCCCTAGTACTAGCTAATATCTTTTTATAAAGCCTAGCACTAGGACACTACCTAAGACTATTTAGGAAGTCCCTAATAGTAGTGCTAAGGAAGCCCTAGAAGGACGACTATATATAGCTTAAGGCCTATAGACTAATAGCCCTACTTAATACAATAGGCAAGGTGCTAGAAAAAATTGTCGCTAAAAGGCTAATAACCTTTACCGAGGAAAGGAATATCCTTCTTAAAGGCTAGATAGGAGGAAGAAAGAAGAGGTTAATACTAATAGCTATAGAACTAATTATAGAACAGATTAAACATATCTAGTACTATAGTTAAAACTAGGTAGCAACCCTCCTCTCCCTTAACATCTTAGGAGCCTTTAACAATGTCTCCTATAAAAGGCTCCTATATATACTTAAATAGAAAGCTATACTAAACTAGATAGTCCAATTCATCTAGTCCTTCCTATAGGAAAGATCAATATAGCTCATTCTAAGCAAATTCAAATTAGACCTAATGCTAACTAAAAAGGGAATCCCCTAAGGATTAATACTCTCCCTAATCCTCTTCCTTATCTTTATAGTAGACCTACTCCTACTCCTAGAATCAAAGAATACATTAGTATTAGGGTTTATAGATAACACAAACATCCTAGCCTAGTCTAAGACAATAGAAACTAACTATAAGATCCTAGAAGAGAAGTACTAGGAGTATAAAAAATAGGCAAGGAGGCATAGAGCAAAATTCGCCCTAGAAAAGTACTAGCTTATCTACTTTAGCAAGGCTAAATCAACCTATAATATAAAGCAATCAATTACTATCTAAGGCTTTGAAACCCAACTATTAGTAGAGCTTAGGGTACTAGGGATCTAGCTAGATCCAAAACTAAATTAGGGACTATAAGTAAAGAAGGCAAAGTAGAGGGTAGATACTAACATACAATCTATTAATAGGCTTATAGCCTCTATATAGGGGGCTATATTCGAGAAAGCTAAAGTTATATACAAAGCAATTGTTAAGCTAGCAATACTATATAGAGTATAGATATAGATAGCCTAGGAGAAAACACTAAAGAGGATTAAGCAACTAGTTAGTAGGTCCTAAACCTAAAGCCTAAAGAAAATCCTAGGAGTATACAAAACTATACTAATAAGGGTAGTAGAAATAGAATTAGGGATCCTACTAGTTAAACAATACTTTAAGGGACTAAGACACTAATATATAGCAAAGACAATAGAATACTTAGCCTAACAGACTATCTAAAAGGCACTAGACAAGATAAAAGCCTAGTATATTAGGACTAGGAGGCGAGACAGACTATAAATAACTCCCTAGAAAGTCAAAGACCTAGAGCAATATAGAGTCTTAATAAGAGAAATGCTAGAGAAAGAGCTTTAGGGACCAAATATAAGGCTAAAGGAAGATAAGCTAAAGGGAGAGAAACAAAGCCTAGTAGAATCAATTGCTAGATACCTATAGGAGCAGGAATAGAACAAAACATAAGTTAGACTAGGAACCCTAAAGGCACTAATCAAATTTGGTCAATATAACTACTAGCTCTATAAGGACCTAAATAGGGCCGAGGCAAGCCTAGCTATCTAAATCAGATCTAAATATATTAGACTCAGATCTTACCTATTTAGAAGAAACGTCCTAGGAATTAAAAGCAGAGCTTGCTAATATAGCTACCAATCTTAGAACCCTAAGTATATACTGCTAGTCTACCCTTAATAGTTAGAAGCTAGAAGTAATTAGAGACTAAAAGCAATAGAAAGGGAATACGACAAACTAATCTAGAGCAAAGAAGACCTAAAGAGGATAGTAAAGTGGATTATTAAATAGGGATTTGTATAACAATTCGTACTAGTAAGGGAAACTAAGGAGTAGATAAGAAGGAGGGAAGAAGAGGGGGAAAGAAGGGTAGGGCAGCAGGCAAGGTAGTTAGAGGGTAACAACTATAATACTAGTATACCCTAAAGGAAGGAAAACAAGGAAACGAGGAAGATCAACACTTATAAATAGGATAGAAGGGAGGTTTTTACTAACTAAGTTGGTTTCCTACCCAAAACAATATATAGAAACAGACCTGCATAGGCCGAAAGGCACTACAACAGGCAAATGAAATATCTATCTATCTATCTATCTAATAAAACAACTAATAAAACAACTAATAAAACAATTAATAGAACAATTAACAAAACAATTAATAAAACAATTAACAAAACAATTAACAAAACAATTAATAAAACAATTAATAAAACGATAAATAAAACAATTAACAAAACAATTAACAAAACAATTAACAAAACAATTAATAAAACAATTAATAAAACAATAGTAGAACAATTAGTAAGGCAATTAATTAAATAATTAATTAAACAATTAGTAAAGCAATTAGTTAAACAATTAGTTAAACAATTAATAAAATAAATTATATTCTAGTAAATAAATAACTTATAATAAAGTGAAAAAGAAGGTAAATAATAAACTAGAGAAGAAACTAAATAATAAAGCAAATAATAGATGAAATAAAAAACTAGAGAACAAAGTAAATAATAAACTAAATAATGAGCTAATTAATAGACTAAATAATAAGCTAGTACTAAACTAAGTAGTAAGATAGAAAACAAGTAATAAATAAGGATATAAATATGAGGACTTAGACGTATTAGAAAAAAGAAAACATATAATAAAAATAAATAAGAAAATATAAAATGGGTAAGTAAAACAAGTAAGATACTAAATAGAAAAACTGTAAAACATTAAAGAAAAAAAATTAAAAATAGTTTTTTTAATAATATAAAAAGTAGTAATAGATATAAAAAATTAGAGAAAACTAGAATAAAAGTAAGTAATATATATAAAGTTAAAAATAATAAAGTAGTATCTAAAATACTAGAAAAGAAAAATAGTAATACAAAAATATAAAAATACTTATTCCTAATAAACTATTCTAATAGAACTAAATCGTATAATAATAGTAATAGCTTCGAGGTCTAGCTTCGAGGTCTAAAGAACCGAATTAGCTTAGTATATATAAGGCGAAAGCTTCGCTCGCACTCCTCTAGGCACGCGCTAGCCGCCTAGGAGCACATTTTATTCGATATCCTACCCTATATCTAGTATACTAGACTAAGGTTTATTATAAGCCGTTAATATATAATATAAGACGAGATATTAACCTTCTAAATGTTAGAAGTTATTTATAAGAGAATATAGCATTAATCTACTAACAAATTACTATAATATAGACGGTCTTAGCTCTCTACCTACAAATCGAGCCGGGATTTCGTATATACTACAATTACTACCTTTTATTCTACTAACTCCGCCGGCATTGTTAGACTATATTTATATAGCTTCTTAAGCACTTTATAGTAATTGAATTAAGCTACATAGTTAATATTGTTACCCTATCGTTTATATACTAATTCTAGGTACGCCTAGAAGTCTATTTACTAGTTTAGTAACCTATATTTAGGCATTGTCTACTAGTGCTTCTTAATCTAATGCTTCAGATATTTAAAGCTTAGTTTAATAGCATTATAATTAGGTAAATAGGGTAGAAGGAATAGTAGATATACGCCCTTAGCTAAGTGCAACTTCTTTAGAATAAGCCTTAAATAGGTACTATAGTTATCTAGTAATATAACTAATAGTAGACCTAGATAAGGTATATAGCGTAGAAGTACTCGATAGCGTACGAATACTATAAAGTCATTACTATTAATACTACCTTATTATATTAATAGCTCCGGAAGATAGCCGTTAATCGTATAGGCCGTTAGGATCGTATATCGCTAAGAATAGTATAGATACTAAATATCCCTTACTAGTATGCCTTTTAGTAACTAGCTACGCCTTCTAAGAGCGGTCTTGTTAGAGGTATAAGACTCGTCGAGGCATACAATCTAGAAGGCCGCAAATAACTATAACTTAGCCTTAAATAGAGCCCTTACTATAGGGTCTCTTTAAGAGGCCGTACGAGATAGCAACTTATATATAAAGTTACTACTTAATAAGTAACGACTAATAGTCGATTGTAACACCTATTCTTTATAGTTTTCTAGTAATATAACCTATAGCTCTTCTAATTAGTATATACTTCTTCTTATTAAGAAGTCTAGTAGGTTGTCTCGTATAGCCGGACTAATTATATATAGTCTACCGCCCTTTACTAGAAATATAGTAGTAGTCCTATTCTACCCAGTTATTCGAGCCTAAATAGTAGTACGAGAGCTACGCCCTTAGCTAAGTAATAGCTATATAATATCTCTACTCTTCTAACCCTCGTCTAATGCCTATTATATAAGGTTATCGTCTTATTTAGTAAGTAGAGCTATAGTAGTAGGGTAGGTTAGTATAGAGGGGTGCGGCTCTAGGCAAATAGGTGCTAAAAATACGGCTTTTAGGCAGATACGCTACGAATAGTACTATTATAGGTATTAGACATACATTAGAGGACTTATAATACAAGTTAACATAACATATAACGACTTCCGAGCGTACAATAGGTATATTTAGTGAGATGTGGTAGTATTGCCACTAAAGGAGGTATATAGCAGTAGCCCTCGTTCCCCGCGAAAAACAGTCCGGGCCCTTTTACAAGGCACTAATAAGGCGTCCATAATGCGATAGCTGGTTCAGCTTTCTCCAACCAACGAAAGAAATCTCCAGCAGATTATACGCGCACATCCATGAGCCATCGCCGGTGCATTAAAAGCTTTCTATTACGACGCTTCACATTCAACGAGACATTGTATAGTACACTGCTTTTGGGGCGCCGAAAGGGCCAGAGTACGCAGCAAATCCTGACCGCGAACAGCTGAAAATCAGCAGCGATACAGTAGCTTCCCCAATTTTGCAGACGACATCCGGATATGTAAAGAAGTGGCCAAAACAGGACGCAGCTTTGCCGTCGTTCGTCGACTTCACACGTGTCGCCACATCAAGATCCCGGGCCCACTCGTTCGCATGCTGTTACGCAGCATTCAATAATAATAATCCAGTCCATTTCAGTGGTTCGCAGCTGGACCTGCGCCCACGCTCTTGGGTCCGGAGATTGCCAAGCCTGTGAAGCCGCCAATGCTGTTGGTTTCGTCTGTGCCTTCCGCGTCGCATCATCTTCAAAAAGTTTCATTCTGCAAACGCCTTCGGCCTATTGCTCCAAAGAATGATTCTCACAGCAGTCATCATCACGTTTTGCAGCTCCACTCCTACGGATGGTGGGTCGTGGGTGTTGGATTCCCGCCAGAAATCTACGGCCTTGTTCCGCAAGACCAACCAGATAGTCGCAGTTGGCCTACATATTGGCATGCTCCCGAGATCAATGCACTGTCTTACCGTCGGCATGGAGATTGAGACTGATGGGTAACTTGGCGGAGCTTGATTAGATAGATCTTGCATCTCTGCGAGATACATATTTCGCGTATCCCATCTGCGCCGGTCGAACGGAATTTTGATCCAAGTGAGAGTCGTCCTCTCCCTCTTCTCGTAATGGGCATGAACACCGGCATAGATTCCAGCCTCGAGCATGGCAGTTCGACCATCGGTAGCATCGATACGATTTCCAACAACAGCAGTCCTTTCTTATACACCGACGACAGCGACATCTTCCTTGACCTGTTTCATCCCAACCGTAAGCTCTTTCTTTGTCCATCTACCAAAACCGATTGTCGCAAGCGCTAACCTCCACTCGTTGTCACTAGACTTATGGCCCACATCCCTCCCCAAGCTCCCAGTCGTTCCCAGTCAACCCACAATCCCAAGCCAAGCCGACGTCTCCTCACGCTTCCTTCGCATCGCCGAACTCTACTCTTACTCCCCGGACACGCTCGTTACCGACATCGATATGGACGACGCCGTCTCTTTCTTCGGCCCAGATTGGAACGGCGAAGGCCTCCCGGATCCACCTCCACCTGCCAAGCCACATAGCAAGAAGACAGGACACCAAGTTTTCGTCGGAAAAGATGACAAGTGGGCGAAGTGGAGCAATGCGAGATTTCAGGGATCCTTGAAGAATGCGAGTGATAGCTTCGGCGGTGAAGGAGGAGGAGGCGTTCCTCCTGCTGCGGATTCTACGGCTATAATGGCTACACCGACTCCGACGAGCAAGACGTGGAAAGTTGTGAAGAGACCGCGTGCGCGTAGGGGTGGGACGGATGGCGGGCAGAGGAAGGGTTCTGCTGATAGTAAGGTGGGAGTGAGGTCGCAATCTGGGCGCAAGTATCAGAATCTGATGCCGAAACCAGCTTAGCGTTTGCTGCATTCAATAGTCGTTCCAATTACGTATGGATCTCACATGCCAGACTAGGGTGGTACTGGGTTTCTCGGGTTACGTGAGAATGCCAAGAATAGCAGAGCCTTAGCAACTTCCCTTGTAATTTACTAGGTAGAATGCTCCTCTTCTGCTAGTAGAGACCTTAAATCGTATCCTTATACCGCTCTATACCGCTACAATAATTGTTATATAGCTAACGCCTTAGCTAGTAGGTATAGTTATTCTTTATAGCGCTAGCTACCTCCTAAAGTAGTATTTCGAGATGCCGCGAGGCAAGAAGTTAACTACCGAAGACGCGGTTTAGCGTACGACGCGATCGAGGAAGCAAGTCGATAAGAAGCTACCGGCTTATAAGGAGGCTATTATAAGGCGTAAGTCGCCTTAGAAGGGCGGTAGCTTAAGAGCGAAGACGAAGACTAAAGCGTAGGCGCTTCGAGAGTTTATAAAGCGCCCTGCCTTTAAAGTTAATGCCGAAGATTAGAGGCGCTACGCGGAGTAGTAGAAGGAGAATAAGGACGCTTCGACGGCGGTAGAAGGTAATAGACAAGTTAACGGTAGTAGAAAAGTTAATATTAGTAGATAAGTTAAAGAAGGTAAATTAACGCAAATAGGCGAGGCTTTACCTACAAAGCAGTTAGCGCTACGCCTATACTAGCGTAAGATTAATAGTATTTAGATAGATAAAGACGATATAGAAACTAAGTCTAGCGACGAGCATAACGTCTTCTAATATAAGCAAACCTAGCGCCTCTTTATAGGCAAGACTCTTACCTCCTCGTTTAACGAGGATCGCACTAGCTAGTCTACTCGCTATAGCGATAATGCTTATCGCTAGGCTATCGATAAAGCTTAGAAGAAGGGGCTGTTTATAGGTAATCGCTTTGTTATTATTACTACTAAGACAACGACGAAGAAGACTAAGTTTAGAGAGAATTTTAACTCGGCCGACACCTACGAGAAGGGCCTTAAGGCCGCCTTCGAGTACGCTAAGGATACAAAGAACTAGGGGACTGTCCGTATAGATATAGAGTTCTTTACTACTATAAAGGACTCGCCTCCTATTACTCCGCTAAAGCAGTTAAAGTTAAAGCTAAACGACTAGCAACTTATCGAGAGTAACGCTTTTATTGCTAAGAAGCGCTTAACTAGTAGCGACTAGACAGCTAAGATTAAAGCTAATAATATATGCCTTATAGTAGGCTGTCCTAATATTAATAAGTAGTACTATTAACCGCCTTACTTACCGGAGACCTAGAGGCATTATTTATAGCTATCTAACTACTTATTTAAGCTATAGAGCGAAGCCTATATTGCTAGTAAGGAAGGTATTACACCAAAGAACCCTCCTTAGAAGGCAATCGACTAGATGAAGTTGTTTACTAAGAATAGGCGAGACAAGAAGAAGGAGCCTGCTTTACCACAACCTCTAAATCTATATACTCCTTATCGTAGTCTACCTCCTTCAGCACCGGTTAATTACTTAAAGCTCTTCGAGACAGCGTAGACGCTTGCTACTAGCTTTGCTAATTAAGAGCTAGGTTCAACTTCTATAGGTTCAACTTCTACTACTTTAGCTTCTTAGTCTTAGTAAGAGTTACCTATTCTAACTCGAGTTGCTATAATACTTAGTACGCCGCTACGAAGCCTTCTACGCTAGTTCTTCGAGTAGGCGGCAAAGCAACCGGAATAGCTAGAAGCGGAAGACAATAAGCAGCTAAGGAAGATAGAAGATTACTTTATAAAGGAACGATATAACTATAATTAAATATATAGACTGTCGATAAAGATATAGAAGGAGCTAGGCTTCTTTAAAGGCGACTACAGCTCTATACGAGATAGCCTAAAGCGCTTTTAGAAGCAGAAGTTAGCTAAGAGGAATAGTTAGCTTACAAGACAATTACGATATTTGTAACGGAGAAACGGCTGCTTTGATTTAGTAAGATTATATAGGAGTTTACTAGCAAATTGGTGCTTTGACGGCTTAATTCTATCTCCGCTAGAAGTATTGTAATCGTCGTCGTTGCCTTTAGTTCTCTACTAAAATCTTAATATATATAAAGCGGGACTATCCGCCTTACCTCTTATAGCCTCCTTCGTGTTCTTATACTACTATATTACAATATTATATTATTAAAATTGATACGGAGCTTCAGATGTATATTCTTAAGGAGCTCGCTAATTTTAGTATTGTATTATAGACGTAGTATAGTGCTATATAAGCAACTCGTCGAAGCCGAGTAGTATATTATCTAGCTTAGCTCTATTAACGTTATAACCGCTATATTCGAAGAGCTTACGCACGTCTATGCTAGCAATATAATCTAGCGCCTGTGTGAGGAAGTTAGTAAAGTTAGCGTATTCCTTCTATCGGTCCTTATTCTTCTTTATCTATATCTTAAGCACGTTAAAGGTCTGTTCTATCGGATTCAAATCTAGTAAGTATAGCGGCAAATACTCGAGTCTGTAGCTAGCTAAAGTAATAATAGCTTCTACGTTATCGCTATAGTAGATTAAGCAGTTGTCTATAATAAAGATTATCTCAAGACCTTTAAGAAGAGGCAAAACCTAATTCTCGAGCTAGTCGTCGAATGTAACTTAATCTACGGCGCCTTCGATATATAGAGTGCAAGGTAGGTATCTATTTATCGTTAAGGCTAGTAAGACTAACATTCTCTTCTACCGCTGCGTATACTAGAAGTCGTAGCAATCTATACCCTTTAGAGACTATCTATATTTACGGTATATAGTCTTCTTATTTAAGGCAGTCTTATCTATAAACACTAGCTTCTCGATAGGCTATTCTTTACACTTCTCGCTCTAAACTGCCCTATTCTTCGTATTACGCTCTAAGGCTATCTTGCGCGAGGTTTTACGGCTCTATTTCATTACCTTTGTAAGAGTACGGTAGATAGTCTTCGGCGACACTATTATACTAAAGTTATCGTATAGCTCGAGAGCTATTTCTTCTAGGTATGCCTCGGGTCGGTCGGTTAAGTAGTCTTCTAACTACTATACAACTTAGCAAAAACACTAACTTTCTATTAGTTTGCTTACCTCTCGCATCTCCGCCGTTATCGCTAATTGCGGACCCGGTTTGCCTCGAATTAGGCAATAATACTCGCTAAATAGGTTATAATTAATACGCTACCGATATAACGTCGAAACCGCGACTTCGGATATCTTATTAATGTCCTAGATACTAAACCCGCCTTCGAATAGGTGCTTTACCTTTACCTTAGTTTTTAGCGGCATTTTAGTACTATAGCTATTACGACGCGCCGGCGGCGCCTTGCCTTGCGACTTCCTACGTATTACTATTGCTATAGTATTAAGAGATGGACAAACAACACCTTAGAGGGCTCTATACTATTAAAATAGCGACAATACGATATTTAGTGGTAGGCGGTGTGAGGCTCTGCGCGAGAGTCTTGGCATTCTCACGTAACCCGAGAAACCCAGTACACGGTCGCGCTGGGGAAGGGGTTGGTGTGGCACCACATGCTATTGAGAGGGAGGTGTTGCAAGCTCCTGAACTACACATGGTCCTTTACCGTCTTCAACAATACAAATCACGAGGCCGCTACGTGCTCATGCAGCATGGCAGCGGAATCCAATGCACGATCGGTCTGAGATGATCACGCCACGAATGTCGATGCAGAGAAACCTTACCATGCAGGGTCATCGCCCAGAGGTACAGTGTACATCCTCAACCGGCAGTATACATATTGTCCTCCAGCAGCGCAGCATCGGCCGGCACATTATTGCCGGTTCCAGATGCACACGTTATTGTACTCCGACGTACCTGTTTGAGGAGGAGGATGCTGGAACTCATTGCCGTATTCATTGCCCACTACTACAAAAGATCTATCCTGCACTAGCCTTAATGACCAGCTCGATTCGGCCCTGCACTAGTCATTCCATCCAAATCCAGGAGCAGCATATAGCCGTTCTTCCCCGACATGTATCAACGGCGACTTTATCACAACCAAACTTGTATCTCTCTCCACAAGGCCCCAGCATCCCGGATGAATTTCCCGAAAATCAACCCGTCACTTCTACCCATGTCCCTGTACAAGCTCTTCCCTCCCAACCTGCCGCCAACCAGTCGTAATCGCGGCCCCCGCCTGCTGCCGCTTCTGCACCACACAAACCAATGTCCGCCGACAAATCAGCTCCTCGTACATCTTCGTCTTCTCCTTCTCCGTCTTCTCCTCTTCGTCTTCATGGAAATCCGTGCAGATGCCTGTGACGATTTGGGGTGGGGAGTTTTTGCATGAGATTTCTTCTTCTTCGGAGAACTCGGGGGTTGTTGGGCTGTTGATCCATAGGTATGCGGGGATGATGATGATGATGATGATGATGATGATGATGATGATGATGATGATGATGATGACGAGGACGATTGCTGGCCACCACTTGCGGAGGTGATGGGTGAGTTTGGATTTCGATTTCTTTGCTGTTTCTGGTGCTTGTGCAGAGGAGGAGGTTGTTGTTGTTGCTGACGCTGATATCTTGACGGAATCGTTATTCTTTGTCGCAAGGGCAAGCTTGTTGGGAGGAGGCGGTTTGGTGTTCTTCTTCTCCTCGCAGTACGACGAAGGGGGTTTGCTGTCCACGCACGCTGATGCTTCGTTTGCAGCCTTTTCCCTACGCCGCTGTCGGAGACGGGTGTTCATGATGTTGTCTTTTGAAATGTCGGACGAACGCTGCACATTCATGGAGTCATTCAAGTCCATAACTTATGGACTCTTTGACTGAGGGCTGTCCGTCTGTCTGATGCTGTGGGCGGAAGCGGTCGAGAACTTGGATTTCGAAAATTTCGATAGATCTCCTGAGACACGTCACGGAAGGAAATCTGCATCTGAAATATGCGGGTCTCCGGACTTTGGGAAGCGGTGTGCGTTCGCCTTTGTGTACAAGTTTCGTGTGGTCAGTCAGACACGAGCTTTTTCCATCTTTCTATGCTCTACCAGAAAAGAACTACTGATAACAAGTCACTACCATGGGTGGCAAGGGTGGAAAGAACCACAAATACAACTACGCTACCATCGCGAGGTTCTACTGCGAGAAGCGCCTCACTCCTGGTCTAGCTCTGAACGCGCAAACATGGAGCGAACTTCAGAAGCTGGAGCCAGTGGTGGTGTCGGGTAGGAAAACGGAGAAGACGGACAAGTTGAAAGGTTTGGTAAGTGACTGCTTAGCAATGCCGTGTTCCTCGTAGGCTAATCTTCCGTGTGATCTACCTAGGTCGAGAGCCGCGTTTCGGCCAACATGATGCCCAATCAGATTCCTTTGGCATTCGACGAATCTGGTGGATGGAGTGCCAATGCTTTGAAGATGCTGACGGATCATATTGGAGAGTTGTCGGAAAAAGATGTTGCTTTTCCCTCGAAAGTCTTATTGTGTTGGAAGGACACTGGTCTCGGCTACGAAGACGACGACGAAGATGACGACGACGAAGAGTACGAACACGACGATGATCACAACGATGACAACGACAGCGGCGATCCAGCTAGCTCCGGTCCTCGTGCTAGTAACAACGAAGACAGAGTCAAAGTCGAAGCCGCGCAGCTTCGTAGGAGGGTTGATGATGAGACGGCAAACAACCGTAAGCTGAGGAAGAAGTTGAAGGAGTCTGAAGAGATGCGGACAAGTCTCGAACAGAAGCTAGAGGGCGACAAAGCAAAGATATGGGATCTCGAGTGCAGATTGCAGAAGCAGCAGGAGGAGACGACTGAAGAGCAACGTCAGATGCAACGTCAGATACAGGCTGTAGAGGCGAAGGCACGAAAGTCTGAGGAGCTGCAGGAACAGGTAGAAGCTGAAAAGCAGGATTTGGAGAAGAAAGTCAGTGATCTCCAAGACCAAGCCAAGCGGACAAGTCAGCAGGTGAAGACGAAAGATCAATACGTACAGCAGATGTTCCAAGATCGGGAAACACTCCGACAAGAGAACACCAAGCTCGCCTTAGCCCAAGGCTCCTCCGACCTCCAGAAGCGAGACCTCGAAGCAATGTGTAACCAGGTCAAGCATCTCCAAGCTCAATCCCAGACCCTGGCAAACGACAAGTCGACTCTCGAGCAGCGTCTCCACACCAGTCAACAAGAGATCGGTGCTCTTTCTCAGAAGCTCGACGACGACAAGCGTGAATACGACACACAAATCCAAACCCTCGAGACCGAAAACGAACAATTCCGAACCCGTACCGAGACCCTCCAAGAAGAACTCGACTCTATCTCCCAACATGCGAAGCTCCATACCCTCGCCCAAGAATTCCAAGCCCGCAACGAAGACCTCGAGCAAACCCTCTTATACCTCGAACGCCAGCTCCCCAAGTATCGGAATCTCATTACCCAGCTCTCAATTTCATACATCGAAACTTTGTACCGGAACCTCCAGGCCGGATCCGAAGTCCTGTTGCCCGATCGACGGACGTTAGAGGTTTTGATAGAGTGCTTGCTCTTTAGAGAGAGGGTGGAGTTGGCGGAAATATATTTTGGTAAAGCGAGGGAAGACGTGCAGGGAGAGGGGAAGAGATGGTGGGCTGTGGGTGTCGGCTGTGTTTTGTTGGAGGAGGGGCTGGTTGAGTAGAGAGAGAGCTGAGTTTTCGTCCTAGGACGTAGACTGACGCAATAAGGGAGAGATGGAGTGGTCTTAGAAGCATTGGGGTTGATTCTTACAATTCCATTAGCTGGTACGCGTCTTTTGCCACTGATGAGTAGATAGCCTCGCCCAAAAAGTTTCCCCCTTCGCTGATACCCGCAATCACTGATATGAGTATCACTACCGTCAGAACCGAAGCATCATCATAGTAGGTTCTTCTACGCGAGACCAAAGAATTCTTCAAGTCGCAGGTCGTGCTTGGACACACGTATTCCAAGCCTTCGCTTCTTCTTAGCATCGTTCTCCCGCTGATTATCGTTGGCCGCTGCTGCGGAGAGCTTGTACTTGGTAAAATGACATGGCCAGCGCAAGCCATCGGAACAGTCCAGTGTACCACCGTAAGTCGTCATCGACAACCGATAGCAGTAGCATATGGTTTTCAATGCGAATGCGGACCCTTTGCTGCCTTGATGCCTCACCGTGCGGAAGAGGGTCTGACTCGCGGCCACAACCGATCCTCTCCCGCTCCCGCTCCCGCTGCCGCTGCCTTTCCTCTTTCCATCCCACAAATCCTCGAATGTCGATGGATCAGCCGAAGCTGGCAGCATCGCCACTTCCACCAGCCTCGCCGAATCCAGCCGACTTCCACAACATCCCTCAGGTGGCTCTATCGGAGACACATCGTGCTCAGCAGGCTGTACTTGTGGCATGTTGTAGCGGTGCCACAGAGTCTGTCTGTCTGCAAGGCAGATAGCGACCGCGAAAGGAAACCCGTTGTCTGGCGCATTCTCGACAGCCAATCCCTCCCGTCCTCTTCCTTCGACCTCCTTGCCACTCACTCCTTTACGTTGTCTATTCACATCGACGACCTATGCATAAGTGACCCTTGCTAACAATATGATTTGATCCAGCCAAGAGGACTGAAAGAGGTCGAATGCTCTGGGCAAAAACTTCTCGAGCGTCCTCAAGAGTTTTGAATCAAGCCGCAAGCATCGAAATGTAGCTCGGGCCTCGTGCAGATCAACGAGGATCGAGATCCGCCGCAGAAGCAATGGTTGTCTGCAAGGATATGTGAAATCGGATGAAACCTGGTTTTGCAAGATACCAAAAGTACTGTACGAGCTTTGAAGGAGTAATCGGACGGCTCGAGCCAAGATTCTTAAGAGCAAGGCCTGGTCACGTTTGTTCGTGTGCTTGCCTGTATAGCGTTCGAGATGTTTGCTTCTATCGAAGCTGCTCTGGCACTGCAGGATTCGCCACTCTCTCTCACTTAGCAGTGATGGGGCTTGCGGTCTCTCCGAGGCCGCGTAACGAGTATGCATGCCGTCTACCACTTCGAAGGGTTTCGTTTCGTAGGGGATGTGACAGCAAAATGGCGGAGCTTGTCTGAATTGTAGGAAGACTACTTTGGTAGACTTTCGCCTTGTTGTTGCCAAGATGCCGCAGATGTGGGACGAAGAAAACCAGTTTTTTTTTTCTCTTTTTTGCTCTAACTCTCTTTTCCCGAGGAATGATCCTTTTTCTTCTCTCATTTCCCGACGCTCCCGCCTAGAGCGAGGTTGATCAGGTCTCGTAGTAGGATGGGAAATCGGGAAAAGAGCGAAGAAAAATTATTCCGAGGGTAGCAGAGAGCAGAGCGCACTCAGAGAGAGTGACAGAGAGAGACTGGTATCGACATTTGAGATTGCGTGAGTGTGAAACAGGGCAAATGGATAAGCTTTGCGTGATTCTTTTTTTTTCGTCCTGTATGTGGCCAGCTCGTCTGTAGTAGCCATAGAGGAGAGGTTTCTTTGTGGCCAGTTCCTTGGTCGGAACAATGTAAGTTGTGCCAGTGGTCTGTCGTAATCCGGGGAGGAATGGCTACTTGGGATGTGAGTAGCATCATGTACTAAGCATCGTCTCGGATAGAGAGCAAAGAATGGATGTGTGGAGAGATCTTCCAGATACCGAAGCCAAGAAGGATGAGAAAAGCAGCTGATATGGCGAGTTAGCATTCATTACTGAGGCCCAGAATCAATGAGCACAAAGCAGCGATAGAAACATACCTTAGGCCACAGGATTGGTCGGAACAATGTAAGTTGTGCCAGTAGTCTGTCGCAATCCGAGGAGGAAAGGCTACTTGGGATGTGAGTAGCATCGTCTCGGATAGAGAGCAAAGGATGGATGTGTAGAGAGATCTTCCAGATACCGAAGCCACGAAGGATGAGAAAAGCAGCTAATATAGCGAGTTAGCATTCATTACTGAGGCCCAGAATCCATGAGCGCAAAGCAGCGATAGAAACATACCTTATGCCACCGGATTAGCAAAGACGCAACATTGCATACAACATACACTCCCGATCGACGATTCCACGGCCACTCGTAATCTCTCCTCCAAGTCCATCTCAAGCTCAGGCGCGCATCTGAGAGGAGGCAGAAGTAGAGGAGAGTTGAGAGGGAACAGCAATAGTCGAAGAGGGATTGGCTGAGGTAGGAGGAGGAAGGAAGATGGCGCGCGATGAGAGCATGTAATAGTGACTGTAATGTATACGCGGACAGCGGTCTTGGGTAGGATGGTGGATCCTGAAACGAAACATGTTCCCCTCTCGCTGCTGCCGGCCGGAAAGAGGGAAAGCTAGAGAGAAGGGTGTCGTGGTGAATGAGATGACTAGCCTTTCGCGGATGGGTTCGCAGATGTCCGGCCATTCGCGTCGCTCCCTTGTAAAGCAACGTTGATATTTGAGGATCGTGGTATCCACTTTCCCGAGGAATGCATGTTCGCAGGTGTTCGCAGGTATAAAAGCAGCCATTCCATTGGCACGAAGACGACTGGTTACGCTTCCTCTGAAGCCCCAATTCGACGGATCTGCCTATTGTAATCTAGAATCGCGAGGCGTATCTGTACCTTCCCAACAAACGGATGTTCGCAGGTGTTCGCAGATATGAAAGCAGCTCTCCCATTGGCGCCCAGACGACCGGTTACGCCATCTCCAAAGGCCCCAATTCGACGGATCTGCCCAATCGCGAGCTCCAACTATACTTTTCATTTGAACAATTTCGCCGTGAATGACCGAGCGCCTCCGAAGCCGTATCGTCGTATAGCCATTGTCAGGTTGATTGATTGGTTCATTCTGATTCCGGCGCGCCGGCATGCGAAGTGCCCACCCACAGAGGTTTTTCACGTGCACACGAGTCGTATACGTGTGTTGCACATGACCTCACTGACTTCTTGACAGTGCCCCAGATGCTGAAAGACAATGCCATTCTCACAAGTCTGCTGCGGACGCTTGCCGTGCCATTCTTTGGCTGTGGCGTGTGGGTGCCTCCAAAACCGTAGCCTTCTCAATCGTATTGGGTCACAGATCAGTCGTTTGGAGGTAGGAATACAAGAGGCTCGAGGCGTGGTAGAGTCAGATACTAGTAGTCAGATCGATACCTGCATTGTCAAGGCCGCCCAACCCGACGCACATGGCACGGGCGCAATTTGCCCTCGTGGGCTCTATCTTCGCTCGGCAACGCCGACGTCGCCGGGCGGACAATTGAAAAACTGCTGTAGAACCCACCTCATTTCTGAACTTGGATCTTGGGCGATGATGTTGTCAAACCAGAGATGACTGGAACAAGAAATGCAGCAATGTTGCCACTGCCCGCTGATCAGCCACTTTCCAGCAAATGTGGACCCGTGTCCAGCAAGAATGGACTGATTTTGAGTCTGTTTCTGCTGGACAGGGGTCCATTCCTGATAGACTTGATGTCACAGGTCTAGTCCAGTCTTGCTGGACGTGACGTCACCACGCTGACATTCAGCTTCAGCTTCAGCTTCAGGTCTCGGCCTCCAGCTACCGTCCCCTGTAATAACTCGTCCGCTCGGAGCGTTCGTCGGCAAAACTGGGATTCTGGTAGAGTTCTCATACAAAACACGTCTGTGCCAACTTATGCAAAGCGGAGTCGACCAACCAGATCTCCCAGATCTTATACAGCGGTTTAGCGGACTTAACCACGGACTTCGTTAAGGGGGTATTATACTGATTGCTCTGAGCGTACATCTACGCTTGGCTGCTACTAAAACTGCAGACTTCACGAGTCGGCCTCCGACAACCGAAAGGCAACTTCCCCCCGACTCCTCCTCTCCTTCGTTGCATTCGCCGCTGGAACCAAAGCCTCCCAGTGCTGCCTCTCCCAGATGACCCATTTGACCTCACCTTTACCCTTCTTCTCCGTACGTTGATCTTCGAGAAATACCTCGTGTGCTCCGTCCCTCCTGTGCCTAATAACCACAACTCCCAGCACGTAATTGCCGAAGTGAGCCAGTCCTGCTGCCAACTGGTCGTAATAGAAGTTCCGATTCGCCGGTGATTGTAGGTCGCTGTCTCCTTTCTCCTTGGAGGAAATCTGGAATTCTCGATAGTCCGCAACAAGCCCTCGAATGGCAGAGACGACACTTGCTTTGGTAATGTCCCGAAGCTGGGACTTGAGAAGATTGTAGACGGCATCAGCACCGCAGAGCAGACCGACCCCTGATGATGGGACTCGGACGAAAGCCCCACTGAAGAGGGACTGGTCAGAATCTGACGAGGCCTTGAAGCGAACGGTATAGGTTTTGGTCGGGGCCTGCGATTTGACATATCGAAGCCGACGCTCTTTCCTCTTTCTGGTCTCTGGCGGTTCTGGAGGAATGCGCTGGTTTCTTAGTGGATCCCGCTGCTGAGATAATGATGGCGAATCGCTTTCCAAGAATGTGACTTTCTTTGAGTGATGGAGCTTAGTGTCTTTGTTCACAGATGCAGTGCTCTTCACTTTTGTTCCAGTTGACGAGCTTTGTTCATTCCTGCTTGCTGGTGTGTTTTCCAAGGACTTGCGATCCTCCTGGTCCGATCCGATTCCGTCACTTCTATGAGCTCTGTCACTATCCTCATCTGATGTATGTGCCGCATCGCTGCCTACAGACTCCAGGCTCTCGGAAGAATGCTGCTCGTCTTTCTCTGCGTCCTTTGCGACAGTTTTGGAATGTGTGGTGTGAGCGTGGCTCTTTGCCGCGTCAGGCACCCAGGTAGGAAGCTTGTCTCCATAACCTTTCCGCTTGATTAAGTATTCATTCCTAGCTTCTTTGCTGTTGGGGCGTAAGACCAGGATCGCAGAGACCTCGCATTCGCGATCTTCAGAGTCACCTCCGCTCTTATCCCTAGAGCTGTATCCACTCTCGTCCTCAGAGCTGTATCCACTCTCGTCCTCAGAGCTGTATCCACTCTCCTCTCCAGAGTCAGAGTCAGCAGTCTCTTCTTCAGAGTCACCTCCGTTCTGTCTCCTAGAGTCATATGAATCTTGGGAGTCATACGCACTTTCAATCTCAGATGCACTCTCTGTTTCAGATTCTCCCTCCTCGTCTGAGCCACTTCCTCTCGCATGCCCAGCTCTCTCTGTCACCCGCGGAGCCCTAGAAGTTCTCCTCCTCAACCAGGCTGGGACAATGCTCGGCTCCGCTTCCGACTCAGTCGCTGAGGACACATGCTCAACATGTCCATCCTCGAACCTCACCATATGGTCACTGTCTTTCCCGCGTCCTGCCGACATACTATGGAGCGCTGGGCAAGCCAAGGCTCGAGAGGTGGCTGGCAATAGGCAACATCATCGCCTCTCGTAGTCACAGCGGGCGTGGGCGGTGAGCAGGTGAGTCATGCGGCAGCGTGCAGATGTTGTTGCACGAGGGCATGGGTGTTGGCAGTGGAGTTGCAGGCGCATTGTTGTTGAGCATCTCAGTGTCTGCACTCTACAGCGGAGCGTATGACTGGTAAAATCGTTGTCGAACTGGGATATCGTCGTTGAGGCAAATGTGATGCCTTGTGAGTCGATGCGAGGGAGGCATTCGGACGCATCGGGATCTTGGTAGGAGGTGGGAGTGAACGGAGAGAAGACACATGCATGCAGATGTATCCAAACTTACCCCGGAAACGGTACGGAGGCCTATACATACCAGAGCGTCAATGCAGCACTTCTTGCCATAGCGATAGTAACGTAATCTTTGCCCGTTTAAGTTCTTTTGCTTAGTAATATAAGACAAAGTTACTATAATTTAGCCTTTTCTTAAAAACTAATAAAATTTCTAGTCGCTATCTACTAAATTTATAAGCTATATGGCCTAAGACTCTAAGTTAGACGTCTAGCAGTTTTAGCGTTTTCTAAAGCCCTAGTATACTATTTTTAGTAATCTAAAGACTAAATCTTATAGTCCTATTAAGTAAAAATCTATTTCTAGACTTTTACTAGAGGATAGCTACTATTAGTAACATAATCTAGAAAGGAGTATTCTTTTCTTACTATATTCTTCCTAGTATATCTTTTTATTTAGAAGAGCTATATTTTAGTAATATAGTATAAAGACACTTAATATTTTATAAATTTTATAAAATAATTAAACTATTATAGGTATCTACTAATATTAGCCTAAACTACCTAAATAGAGATATTAGTAATTTTCCTATCCTAGGGCCTTATTATACTATTTTTAGCAATTTAAAACCTAGACCTAGGAGTTTTATCTAGTATAAACTTAGATTTAGATTCTTATTATAATAAGCTTACTATTAGTCTTAAAATCTAAAACCGAATATTCTAAAGACTTTTAGGCTTAGGAAGCTAAATCCTATTAATCTTAAGAATATTCTTTTCTACGTTATAGAACTATTTATAACTAGATTAAAGGAAAAGCTCTTATATAGACTCCTACTAGCTTAAAATTCTATATCTATATTTTAGATTACTAGAAATAGTCTACTAAGGCTTAGTAAATACTAGAGTCTTAAAAACCTAGCTCTAGAATTTTAGGCTAACCTTAGTAGATATCTATAGTAATTTTAGTTATTTTCTATAATTAGATAAGAAAAAAAAACATCTTTATACTATATTACTAAGCTATAGCTCTCCTAAACAAAAAGATATACTAGGAAGAATCTAGTAAGAGAAAAATACTCTTTTCTAGATTATATTACTAATAGTAGCTATACTATAATAAAAATTAAGAACTAGATTTTGACTAGGTAGGACTATAAGATTTAGTCTTTAGATAACTAAAATTAGTATACTATAGCTTAGAAAAACGCTAAAATTACGAAACGTCCTATATAGCTTATAAATTTAGTAGGTAGCGACTAAAAACTTTATTAGTTTCTAAAGGTAGACTAGGAATAGGGTAACTTTGTCCTATCTTCCTAAGCTATAGCTCCTCTAGATAAAAAGATATATTAAAGAGAACTTAGATAGGCAAAGATTACGGTACGGGGTCTATATTAATACTCTAGTATATATAGAGCTCCGTCTATATACTAAGAAGCTAAACTAAGGTAGGCTTTCTTAGTTAGCTTCTTACCGCTTCTGCTACCTAATCCTATATTTAACCTTCTATAACTTATACTATTTTCGCCACTAACTTATATAGTAGCCCTACGTATTAATTTAGAGCTATAGAGAGCTTGTTTAATCTCTTAAGTCGAGAGGAATACTATAAAGGAAGTAATCCTATAGTACCTTCTATAGGGGACCGGCTATTAGATATCTATACGTACGCTTTTGTAAAGGCTCTAGGAGTAGAATATATAGTATAGCCGGTATGCTAACTAGCGAGTTAACGATATTAAGAAACTAAAAGTTCTAGCTACCTATACCTTCTACGTTCTATAGCAATACGGGCAACTAATAAAGAGGCGGTAAAAATGCTAAAGGTAGATAGATTTAATATTAGCTAGCGGAGGTATTAATAGATACGCTAAGAGCTTAAATTAAAGAAGTTAATAGATATAGTTTTATAAGTAAGAGCGGAAAAGAGGATAGCGGAGGTATTACGAAAGGAGCTCGATAAGTCTCTAGTAGAGTCGTTTAGCCGAAGGTACCTCTATACCTATATTAGGTCTAGATATAATATTATTAGTAGGTATTATAGCCTTATATCCGACTCGCTACTACTAGCTAATCCTATCCTATAGAGATTAGCTATATCGTATAGCTTACTTACTAAATCCTAAAGGGCTACGAGTCCGCCGTAAGCGTACGCGAGAGTACTATAGTACTATTGTAACCCTAGGCCCTAGTTACGTATTATTAATAGATACTTACTATAAATTCGAGGATTAGGTAATATAGATCTACGTAGCTATTACTATCTACTCGCGTTATATTATCTAGGTCTATATAGGAATTTATAGCCGGATAGCTATATCTATACTCGTTTAATATATTACTACGCTCCGGAATAGTAGTATAATACTATAGACTATCCGATCTAACTATAGGATTAAGACGATTCTAGTTATAGACGCTTACTATAAGACTCGTCTTACGACTCGTAGTAAGTCGGAATTAGAACCGCTACCCTCCTTCTAATACTATAAGAGGTAGGTACGACTAAAAAAGGTAGTTACGGTAAACCTAAAAGTATAGCCGGTATATATAGCCGGTAGAAGGGTACGAAGATAAGAGAATATAAAGAAATCGAAGGGCTTACGCCCCGAGAGGAGCTGTTCGCCGGGTAAGCGATTAACCTATATACTAAGTATAAACGCTAATTACTCTACCGTAAACCGACGCCTAACTTTAGCTGAGAGCTATGTGTCTTTTTGCCAGAGAGTAACTCGCTTCGAGTAGATAGCGAGAAGGTAAGATAGCTCTAACTCGGTTATAAGAAAGGCTTCGGCGGCTTCTTAAAGAGTACTAATTATATTAGTAGTAAATCGTATACTAATCTTAAAATCGAACGTAATCTCGCGAACGAGTCGCTAGAAGGGAGTTTTAGGGATTAAAAGCTTAGTCCCTCTCTTCTCTTAGAATTTCCGGATCTCGCGAAGAGTAATAGTACCTAGTTTAAAGCGCCGCTTCTTTCTAGGCGTCGAGGTTTACCTTTTACCCGTCTTTTAAATAGAGGAAAGGCTTTTCCTTACGACCTTCTTCGTCCGCCTACTTTTGTTTACCGCCTAAGCCTTCTACTACGAAGATATAGCCTTCTTATTTTTCGGTACCGTCTTATAAGGAACCCCTTCCTTATTCGATACTACGAATAGTCCTCCCCTTCCGATATCTCGTTTTCGCTATAGTCTCTTTAGCCCGACCTCTCTATACCCTCCGCCTATCCCGACCCTACTATCCCTTTAGCCTTCTCTAAGCCTTAAAGGAACTCGTTTACACGTTCGGGTAACGAAGGTATACCGTAAAGAACTAAACTATTAGTATACGATCGTTATAGATATTAAATATTAAATCGGATTCAATTTATATTTATATTTAATATTAAATATAAATATAAATACGAGGTCACTAAATATTCGAATATTTAGTGTATTTAGTCGGCAATTTAACGGGTTTAACGGTTGTACTACGGCGTACGTAGATCTCTTTAATTATACGAAATTGGGTTGTTTATTACTTGTTTCTTACTAAAAACTAAGCTCTTTCTATAGGCTCGGAGGATAGACCGCTTCGAGGTAGGTAGATAGAACCTAGGCATACGAAGGTCGCTAATTCTACTAGGTTGCTAAGTCGCTAGCGGCCTCTAAAGACGAGGTTATAGTGTTATTACTACCTTGTTTATTCTACTGCTTTCTATCCGAGATATAAGCCTTCCTCGCTCTATAGGACTAAAGGCTTTAATAAGAATAAAAATAGCTAAAGAATATCCGCTCGGTCTATCTACCTCTTATTAATACTAATTAGGTAAATAATTATTAGGCTAATTCGGACGATATTTCGTTTATCGAGTATGTAGAATAGGCGGACTTCGAGTAGTATATTAGGGAGGCGGAAAGGGAGGGCTTATAGTTGCCCTTTCGAAGGATTACGAGGAAGATAACGAAGAGCCTTATCTACGCGGCGGAGATCGTTAAAAGGGCTACTAACTACTAAGAGCGTGTCGCTAATAGCCTTTAAAAGGTGTATAAAGGTATAAAACGGAAGGGTAGGCGGATAGTACTAGGTACTCGTCGTTACCTTAAATTCGGAAGGAGATATATATACTCGGAAGAGTGCTTTCTCGGGCTAAAATCGTAGTGCCCGCTACGGTAGGTATATTTTAAGGCTCTTATCGATAAGGTACTATACCGTCTAATCGATAGCGAGGGTACTAAGGGCGGTAGTAAGGTTGTTATTATTAATTAAGTATATAATAATTAGTCGAAGATTAGTATTTAGCTTTCCGTGCCTACCTCCGAGAGCTCGAGTTTACGTTATAGGGTCTATACTAGGCGTTAATTAGACTCGCTAACCTACATTCTTAGCTTCGGCTAGCCTAACCGAAGCGGGCCGCACTTAGCCTCTAAAGTTAAATTTCTAAATCTATCTATTCTAATTAGAACCTAACTACCTTCTTCCTTATAATAAAGACCCGAGAAAATCGCTAACCGACCTAACGAGCGCTCGAAAATTT